ACTATTTTATCTGCCATGTGGAATCATGGGAGCTTTAGTTTAGTGAGGTACCAAAACTATTTGGCACAGAAGGCTAAAGGCCTTGTAAAACAGGTAGTATCAAAGTGCATGAACTCTATATTGGAAAAACACCCTAAGTAGGGACTAGAACATGGACATTCCAAGTCCCAGCACATCACTAATGCAGGGAGATATAAGGACCTTCAGTTTGGTCTGGGGCCAATTGTTGCCCTGTGCCATGGCAGTGGGCTGTGCTTTGGCATTGAGAGACATGGTAGTCCACACTCTGGTTACATCCTGTATGGACTACTGCAACACACTCTATGTGAGGTTGCCTTTGAAGACTGTTTGGAAGCTTTAAATGGTCCAACGAGCGGCAGCCAGGTTGCTAACAGGAGCAGCGCTCAGGAAGCATACAACTCCTCTGCTGTACCAACTCCACTGGCTGCTAGAGTATGGACTGGTTTGATGTTCTTGTGGTCCAAGGCCCTTTCAGAATCTTCCTCCAACACCACAGTTCAAAAACATCTTTCTTAAGCAAGGAACCCTACACTTGGGAATATGGAAACCTGTGAAATTGCAGAAGGGATGTATATCATCCCCCAAACACACACATAATCTGGCTGCATAATCTACACATCAAAATCATCTCTGTACTCAGTTTTTTATTTTGCAATTTTATGCCAAATGTTTCACAAGACTAAGAATGGGCCAGTTGGCTTCTTCCTTTTAGCAAGGTAGCTGATGCCTTCCTTGTGAGCAAGGCAATAAAATACACCCTGAGGACCAGCACCTTGCAAAAAGGAAGAAGCCAGCTTAAGAAAGACGTTTTTGAACTGTGATGTTGGAGGAAAATTCTGAGAGTGCCTTGGACCGCAAGAACTTCAAACCAGTCCATACTCCAGGAAATAAAACACGACTGCTCACTGGAGGGAAGGATATTAGAGCTAAAAATGAAATGGCCACATAATGAGAAGACAGGAAAGTTTGGAGAAGATAATGATGCAGGAGAAAAATGGAAGGAAAAAGGAAGAGAGGCCGACCAAGGGCAAGACGGATGGATGGTATCCTTGAAGTGACTGACTTGACCTTGAAGGAGATGGGGGTGGTGATGGTTGACAGGGAGCTCTGGCATGGGCATGAGGTCATGAAGAGTAGGGAGCAACTGAACAAACAAACAACAACAGGATTCCTTGCTTAAGACACTTGCTAAATAACATTCCATAGAATTATAAATTTATCAATTCAGTCAGATAAAAAAGATTGCTTGGGAGATCTCTGCCTATGAAATATGGGGTCAAACTGCATTAATTCATCAGTATAGATGTACCTGAAAGCCATTTCAGTTCTCGGAAGTCCCTTGCTTTGACTGTATGACATGACTTTGTGAAGAATTAAAACGGTGACTAGCAGATCCAAAGGCACCAGATTCCTTAAAAATTGCCCAGGCCTTCTGGTGTTGACACTGATCCTGACATCTGGATCCATCGTATTTCATTGAGGAATCACTGGGCATTTGTTCAGCTGTAACCTGATCATAGAGACAGGTCCTGTGACTTCACTGTGCCTTGGAAGGTGAATTTATTCCCTTCTAGTGCCTGACAAAAATGCTTGTTACAGTGATGAAAGATATATAGGATGGATAACACTGCCATGAAATAACAATGTGAGCCAAGGGGGTACTCAGTAATTGCATTCAGTGTTCAAAAGCAGAAACACAATCTCATTGACTCCAATCAGTTTCCCCTTGTTCGACATTCCTACTGGAACAGTTTTCTAAATAAGATCTAAAGGCTCATTTATTCCCTTCCTCTTCTACCCTTCACCTTTGCTTTTGAATCAGGCTCTGTTCATCAGGGTGACTGCTTTCATTGCAACAAAGAAGGTTTTGCAACACTCAGTATGACCAATGGACATTAAACAAATACTTTGTTTTAGTGTGCAATACTCTGTGGTGCACATAAAATAGTCCAGAGTTTTATATCCTTGCCTTGGACATGAAAAGAACAGCCATTCAAAGGGTTTTTTGGACCACAACTCCCCCAGGAAGCATGGCTCTCATGGAAATATACATCTTCCAACATTTCATAGATTTTTTTTTAATGTCAGGAGTAACTTGAGAAACTACAAGTCGCTTCTGGTGTGAGAGAATTGGCCATCTGCAAGGATGTTACCCAGGGGATGCCTGGATATTTTGATGTTTTGCCATCCTTGTGGGATGCATCTCTCATGTCCCCATATGGGGAGCTGGAGCTGACAGAGGGAGCTCAACCCACTCTCCCCAGATTCAAAGCTCTGACCTGTCAGTCTTCAGTCCTGCCAGCACAAAGGTCTAACCTATTGCGCCACCGGAAGCTGCTATTTCAGAGACTAAAACTGGGATATGTGTGGCCAAGACACATCACAGTGTGATGAAGATGGCAACTGCTATTAATGAAGAAGAATACACAATCTAGGAAAGGGTGAGTTTTCTGAGAGTAAATGGGAGAGCAACATGTTGTGTTTTTGCTCTTTCTTGAGTTGATAGGCTGTGGCCCACTTGGAATCTACAGCAAGTGAAGGATGTTGAAGATAAATGAAAAGAAAGAGGAGAATTAAGAAAATGGAACATTTTGGAAGCATCTTTTAAAAGTGGGACCACAGAGGATTAATTAGTATTGTCCCTGAAAAATTGGGACAGTTTATGGGTATGAAAATTTCTGGTTGTGACAATCTTAAAACACAGAAAGATATATGGAAAAATGGGCTATAACCCATTGTCTTTCCCCAGCTAGGATTACCCTCATCTGTACTTTTTTCTTGGTTCCTACTTTTATCCTCTCTCCATCTCTTCCATTTTTGTCTTGTCTCTGGCCTACAAGGATATATAGACCCAAGTTGCCAGTCCCAACTTGAGCAAACTCACTGGCTCAATGGGACTTACATAAGTGTTGACTCATTCAATAATTGATTTAGTGGGTCTATTTTCGTTCAGGCCATAATGAGTCACATACGGGATTTCACAGACTGGTTGTTGCTCTGATCACTCTGTCCACATTCCTTTGACTTTTTGTGGCCTATAAAAAGCAGATGTCCTGCTGGCTGAGCTATAGTTGTCCAAAAAGGTAACTGTTTCATATTTTGCATAGAACGTATTATCCCTTTGCTTCCGAGCCTGAAAATTCTGACAGACTTTGGCTTTTCCTTAGCAGTGTTGTTCTCTTATGAAGGCCACAGAGGGTGTGCATTTGGTTAGGATTAAGAAACTATTCAGTTTTGCTGTCCAAGCCATTCAGATAATTAAAGCCTCATATTGTTTCTGTTCTGAATATGAAGATATTTACAAATTCTGATAAATTCTCCAAAAATGAACTGAAACATTGCTCATTATCGGCATCATCCAGATTCAGTAAACATGAATATAATGATTCCTAAACTGAGGAAGACTATTGATTTATTGATTTATTTATTTACGACATTTATATGCCACCCTTCTCACCCCAAAGGGGACTCAGAGCGGCTTACAAGTAAAAAGTAAATACAATATATTATATTATTACCACAGCACAATATTAGTATTATATATTACATTGCACTATAACATTATACTATAATATTATTAGTAATATTACATTTAATATAAAATATATAATTATAATATCATATTATTAGTAGTAGTATTATATTGTATTACATTATAATATTATCAATATTATATTATATTATATTATATTATATTATATTATGAGCACAGTGCAGAAGGCAAGATGGGACTGCCTACCTGGTCCTCTCTTGACTCTGATCTCAGAGCAGCGGGGCACACAGCAGGGCCTCCCCGCCTCGCCACCATCACTGCCGCAATGCCCGCCCTTTCTCCTCCCCTGGCCTCGGAACCGGCTTCCCCCTCCTTCTCCCTCACCCCTGCCCGCACGCCCTTCAACTGCCATTTGCCTTTCCTCACTCTCTCTCTTTCCCCTTGCCCCCGCCCTTCCCACCGAGGAATCTACCTAACGGTTGGTTTCCTTGGTCATATTGCATATACTTTCTTCTAATAGTAAAAGATGAATATTTTCTCGAAACAGAGACACAAGTGGCAACTCTGTTCTGAGTCTGACCTGGCGTCAAATCCAAGCATTCCCAAGTCTGTGTTTAAAACTGAACACTGATACATGTCACTGTGATAGGATAAGATTTATTGATACTAAATTGATGTAGCAGAGGAAAATACCATAGTCCTTTAACTGGTGGCTTCCAGCATCATCTCCCAGCTTTCTGCACAGATTATCTAGTGGCCCACCCTGCAAATCCTTCTGGCTGGACAATGTGTTCCCTGTGCTGGGGTGCAGCCCCTCCTAAGATGAAGCAAATGGAAAATACCAAAAGTTATATAAGTAAGAATGAAACAAAGGAAACTGGAAAGAGGAAAGAAGGAAAGAGCCATCTTCTCACCTAATAGATTGGAGAAAAGTACAGGCAAGTTGCTAACCAGAAGATTTATTTCCCCTTGTCTGTTCTCAGCTGACTTTATATCCTTCAACTGCAAGGCTAAAGCATAAACCATCTCACCGGGGCCTCCCAGACACAGAATAACTCTTTTTTGTGTCATTGGACAGCTGTTAACATTTGCCCAGGATGCTGATAAAGATTTTAGAATGATCTGCCTGGTGGCCGGGAGCCACATGCGCTACCAACGCCCATTGGAGTTAAGAACTCAAAAGCTCTGGCTTAGCTGAATGAATCCATCCATTTTTGTTTCTCTCAAATTACAATGGTTTAAATCTCATGTTGTCTTCAGCTGGAACATGAAGAAATCTACATTCCTATTATACAAAGTGACCAATGTGGTTTTTTCACCCAACCCTATCCAAACTTGTGAGTGTACACCTACTTAAATTTCAAGTGCACCTAATTCTAGAATGTGGTGGATTATTGACCATACATTATTAATCTCTAAATATGTCTGTACAGAGGAACGACAACAAACTATAATTTTGGATAGGGTTCAGTAGTTTATTGTGCATGAATGAACACCCAGTGCTCAATTTCTGATACTCGTCATTACCACAAATTATGCAGCCCAGTTTCCCATATTTGGGGAAACTGCAGGGGTCAGCACACCCCGAGTGCATGGATGAGCCTCGTCCTGAGAAAACCTCCTTTGTGATTCAGGTGTCTCCCCTGCCTGGTAATTTCTGATACTGATCCACCTCAAACCAGCCATAAATGTGCCAGTTTACTTTTCTCACTGTTATAACTCCTGACTGAATAACAACAGCAACAGCAAAAACAACAACAACAACAGCCAAAATGGTGGTTGGAAGTGAAATTGCAGAATTTCTTGTTTCTTGCATGGCAGAGACATGGACATGGAAGTGACATGACACAACTTCTGGTGTGCCCCTTCCATACCTGCTCACTTCCGATGCAGAACAACCATCAAAGTATACAGTGCTATAAGTATTTAAATAGAATTCGCATAAAACTCCTATGCCAGTTAGCCCTGGAATGCAGGCTAAGATCCTAAAGTATAGTATGATCCCCATATCTACAGTACTGAAACACCCAATTTAATTTGTCCACAATTCAAAAAAATCTCTAGACATTTTCTGGGTCCTCCGGCACAATTCAATGGTATGCTTCCACCAGAGTTGCACTGGAGAACATAGAAATGCTGAAGAGATATTCTCTCTAGCCACTTTCTAAGTTCTTCAATGCAATTCTTTGGTATCCCTTTGCCAGAAGATTTTTTTTATTCCAATAGGATTTGCTATTATCCAAGGTTTTGCATTTGCACAATAAGTCAATAAACATATCCCTTGCAGGTATGAGGGTCATCTGTAATTGCACTTTTCCAGGAGGGATTCTGTAATGGTACATCATTCTGTTTCAGCTACATGTTCTGAGCATTGGTCTAGAACTCAGAAGATCGGAGTCTGAATTACCATTTGGAAATGCACAGGGTGACATTGTTGCCAAGATAACCCTGTAGTATTTTCACCTAAGGGTTGTCATAAGTCAGAAACAGCTTGAATGAATATACTACAACTACACTTTTCAAAAGACTAAGCTTATGCATACACAAATAGAGATATTTATTTGTCGTGTCATCCGCAACCAGAACATTGTATTACATTTCTAACAGAACAAAACAAACAAACAGATAAAAAAACACAAATTTTGCAAACTTGGTAGCTGATTAAATGTCCTTTGACCAGTATCTGGCCACTTGGAGTGCCTCTGGTGTTGCTGCAAGAAGGTCCTCCATGTGCATGTGGCAGGGCTCAGGGTTGCATTGCAGCAGGTGGTCAGTGGTTTGCTCTTCTCCACACTCGCATGTCGTGGATTCCACTTTGTAGCCCCATTTCTTGAGGTTGGCTCTGCATCTTGTGGTGCCAGAGCGCAGTCTGTTCAGCGCCTTCCAAGTCGCCCAGTCTTCTGTGTGCCCAGGGGGGAGTCTCTCATCTGGTATCACCCATGGATTGAGGTGCTGGGTTTGAGCCTGCCACTTTTGGACTCTCGCTTGCTGAGGTGTTCCAGCGAGTGTCTCTGTAGATCTAAGAAAACTATTTCTTGATTTAAGTCGTTGACGTGCTGGCTGATACCCAAACAAGGGATGAGCTGGAGATGTCTCTGCCTTGGTCCTTTCACTATTGGCTGCAACAAATAGAGATAAATACATACAGGCAGTCCCCGAGTAGCAAACGACTCATAGTTAAGAACGAGGGTGAGACGACACAAATTGAGAGAAATCTACCCCTCAGAAGGGAAATTCCCTCCTGAAAGAGTTATCATGGAGGAAAAGGTGTTTCACTGAAGTTTTCTCGCCAATCTTTGTTTCCATAACAAGCCACATTTTTTTCAAAATCCAATGGTCACAGGGACAGAAAGTGAGGTGGAATCTTCTGAACATGGGCACAGACAGCAAAACAAACACCACAAGAGTGTTAACCATTCCCTATGCTATCCAAAACTACAATTATATATGTGTTGGTGTGTGTGTGTGTGTCTGTGTGTCTGTGTGTGTCTGTGTCTGTATCTGTGTGTGTGGATAGCGTTACACTGAAAAAATGTACCTGTTCTGACTTGCATATAAATTCAACCTAAGAACAAATCTGCAGAACCTATCTTGTTTATAACTTGGGGGCTGCCTGTATAGTATCAGAAAAGAAGTATATAAATATAGCAATACATAAATACCCCCACACATACAGACATCCTGTGGGAGACACAAGCTGTTACTACTCAACCTGTGTGAGTATTTGGGTCTCAGCTGGCCAGATCCTTATCCTGGATTTGGCTGACACTCTCAGCTCTCTTCCCAAAGCCACTAAACAGTAGAACTGGCTGAACATTTCTTTTGGAAACCTGGAGGTAGATGAAGTAAGCCAACTTCTTGGGTTCATTACAGACATAAAGAACAGCCTTGGCTTTGCTGAATTTTGACGGCTTTTCAGCAAATGTACGCCAAGTTTCAAATGACTCAGGGTGAAGCTTCAAAGAAGCTCAGCTGAATTATGATTCTACCTTAAACCAATCTAAAACTTGGCAGTGTGGATGAAATCTGGCAGAAGAGTTGGGGTTTATTTGGAACTGAAACACATATGGGGATAAGAGGACTTGCAACCTGAAACTGAAAAATCATTTCTAAGAGCTCTTGTGAAGTGACACTGCTAAATATTAGGCAGAACCTGGCCATAATGGCTCATTCCTCATTCCTTCTTTCCCATGTGGGTGGCTTCATGATCCTTCTTACAGCTCCAAAAGATTATTCATTTCTAAGAAGCTGTGAAAGTAAAACAGGGATAAAATCTGATGGAGCCAGAAGGATGTTTATCATGATTTTCACAAGCCTGCTGATGGTGGAGAGGAAGCAGGGCTTCAGTTAATGATTTGAATAGATCAGCAGTTGAATATATAGATGCATGATGTGTGCACAAAATCTGCCAAGAGGATGGCCTGCATATGGGCTGTTAAAATAAATGGATTCATTAGAACAGCACTACCATTCTCTGATGCAACTCTAATTCGTGTCAATGGAACCTAATGTCATAGTGAACTGTGATCATTCAAACACATGACTCCTTTTGTATGAGGAAAAAGGCCTGTTTCCAACTGTGGCTGTTCTGGCAACTTAGCAAACAAGGCATGAGGGTCATAACTTTCTGTGTTTGTTGTTTCCTGGCAAGTGGTCAATTAACCCAAGAAGCGAATGCAGGTGATATTATTGCATTGAAATATCAAAGGAATGTCAAAACCAAAACCAAGAAAAGGGAAACAGTGGTAAGTGTTTGCTTCCATGTTGGTGATGCTGTGAATCAACTCTGTTTTAGTTCATCTGTAAAGGCATAGAGATCTACTGAACTTCTCTGTGTTCTTTAAACGTTGAGCATGAACAGTTCCTTTAAATCTATAGAAATAAAAATGTAATGTTCGTTTGTGGGATTAACATAACTCAAAAACCACTGAACAAATTGACACCAAATTTAGACACAATACACCTATCAGGCCAATAAGTGACCATCACTCAAGAAAATACTGAAAAACTCAGCAGAAGAGACTTTAAAAGCCAAAAAAACAAAAACTATATTACAACACATGCACAAAAACCACACACACACACACACACACACATATATATATACACACATATACATATACACAAACACACATATACACAAATATATACACACACATATACACACACAAAACACATATACACAGACGGCTACAGCAACACACGACAAGGGACGACTTGTCATGAATAAAACCCAAAGCAAATTCACTGTATCTCTGACATTAAATCCTCTCACTGTGCCATACCAAATAGATACCATCAGCCAGGGCTTGAAAAATGTTTTCTATGAAGAGGTACAACTGTCAGAACCTCTGTTTAGAGGATTCTGGGAGCTATAGCCCAAAAATGTAACTTTTTCAGATCTAAAATACAGAAATGCCTGACAATATTAAAAGAATGATAATGGCATCTTAGTCCTATTTGAACATGAAGCCTAGTGAAATTTTCAGCTTCAAGCATTGGATCGTCCAGATGATTGCTCTATGAGTTACATAACTGTACTGGGGATGGATCATGAGGTCAGCTTTATTACCTTTTTCTTGAGTCAGAAATCATAGTTTTGTCAGAGAGTTAAAAGTCATTGGACAGAAGATTCACAACTCTTGTCTGATAAACTTTCACTTCTAGTAAACATGTTTTACAGGCTTTCCAACCAATTGTTTCATAAGTGTCCAAAACTTGTTTGACCAGACATGACAGTCAGCTAAAGAAATGTGTATTTTAAAAGCCAGAGTCTGACAGAAGGTAGATCTACAGATTGATCAGAAGATAATCGGAAGTAGTTTGGCAAGAGTTTATGACTCCCATCTGTTTAACAATGGCAGCAATAACTATTGTCCCATCCTAGCTTGCTGTATGTCTTCAACCCTTTTCCATCTCTTGGCAACCTTATCCTAGGCTTTTCTTGGCAAAATTGTTTAGCGAGAGTTCATTAATGCCTTCTTCTGAGGCCAAAAAAATGGGAATTACTGAAAATCACCCAGTGGGTTTCCATGACTGAATGGGGATCTGAACTGAAGGCTATCAGTATTCTAGACCAACATTCAAACCACTACACCAAAATGACTTTGTATTCCAGATCAGGCTATTGAAATCTCTAAGGTTTGTATCACATGGGCAGGGGTAAAAGTGGAGGACAGCGGGGCAATTGTGGGACACTGGAAATAGAACATGGGGCAATCATGAAGAACGCTGCCAGCACGGAGCCCCCCAGAGCCCTGCTGGAAGTAGCTCTGCATTATATGATGGGCTTCAGTGGACTCCGTGCCAGGGGGGATAATAATAGTAATAATAATAATAATGCACTTTATTTATATTCCACCCTTCTCCCCTAGGTGACTCAAGGCGGATTACAGTATTTTCATACATAGGCAAACATTCAATGCCTTTACAATCATATACATTGAGAGACACAAACAAATCATATACATTGAGAGACACAAACAAAGGCAAAGATTTCTCCTTTCATTTTCGGCTTCTGGAGGCAGTGCTCATCTCTGGCTCTGGGAGGTGCTCTTCTCCATTTTCAAGCCAAGGAGCTTGCGTTGTCACCTCTTGGTCAAGTAGCGGTCAAGATTGTTTTGCAATTCAGTCCATTGATTTGGGTTACATCCCCAAT